CGGAAAACCAGAAGTATTCCAACTTCACGTATGGATTGTATCAAGGCATGTCTGAATAAGAGAGGTTATTCAGCCAGAGCGGCAAAAGCAGTCAAGCTTGCACTGCGTAACTCAACTCGCAATCTACACGACAACTGCTCTTTGAATACCATAATGGAGGGCTGTTTCTGGATATCCGATATGGTGTTTGCCAACCACTATCTGAGAGATATTACCACTAAGGATGTCTCAGGTATCCACCATTTCGGTCCCATGGTCCTCGCTCAACAGTTGACAGTTCCCCGGAGAAGATAAGTCAATCTTACAGATTTATACTTATCTGATATCAGTACTAAATAGCTACATGCTATATATATATTTTGCTTAAGTTCAATCTATTATCTTAAGCTCAGTACTATGATTATTATATCATACAATATATTAGCTAACAACTCTAGAAGTTTTGCTACTATATTTAGCTTCAGTTTCATCAGATCTTAAGCTCAGTAATATGGTCACAATTTATATATACATTAGCTAACAAACTCTACTTAGTTTCTGCTATTATATAGCTTAAGTTAAATTATATCTTAAGCTCAGTACTATACTCATATAGCTTAAGTTTATGCATATCTTAAGCTTAGTACTTTGGTTACTGCATAAAAGTATATTAACTATAAACTCAAGGAGTTTATGCTATCACATTAACAACTTAAGTCTACTAGTCTTAAGCTTTGTAATAATGTTGTATATACTTTATCATAATAAGTATATTGTAATAGTTATATTGTAATAACCCATATATGGCAGCTGATAAGTTAGCAGCAGGAATTCATCAGTTCAGTGCCTTTATGAAGTTCCCATTGGGTTATTACAGTCATTACAATTCAAATCACTAATTATCCAAATCCAAAGTATTATATATTCCCACCTCCATAGCCGTCGGATTCTACAAGCAAAAAAGCATGAGTCAGGATAAGGAAAATATGTAATTTTCTGAGTAAAATTGATATTTTATACTTATCCTGACTCATGAGGTAAGCCCTCCCGTCCTCCCCACATAACACTTTGGATTTCCCTGTAAATTCAAGTGTTGGGCTCGCTACAAAAGGAGAGAGTAAGGCACATGGTGGGAGGTGGCGCCCTCGTTCCCGCGCTTGCGAGGGGAAAGATAACTCAGGGTGAGTACTAATTAGTGATTTTACATTGAAGGGAACTTCAATTGGGAGATACAAGTGTTCCACTGTGTTCGCAAAGAAGAAGAAGACAAGCAAAAAAGCATGAGTCAGGATAAATATAAAATATCAGTTTTATTCAGAAAATTACATTTGTGCATCAGCTTTTGGCCAAAATACTAATTGGGTTATATTAGGGTTGGCATCTCTGGATGACATGTGTCAACTAAGTCAGCAAGCCCGACGACCCGATCCCGTTAGTCGCTTCTTATTACAAGCATGGGTTGCTGAAGACCAATTCTAACCCGGTTCTTCATGGGTCTCATCATGGAAGACTGATTTCATTAAGGTTTTAGCCAAGGATTTCAGAACTATACTCTTAAAAAAAGTAGGGGAACCAGAACTTTCAATTTGGATAGGAAGTATAAGCGTTAACAAACTCTAAACACAACGTATTGGATGCTATAGTATCCTGACTCATGCTATATTCCTCATCTCCCGTCTGCTTGGGCAATGAAGGAGAGAGTGAGGACAGCGTGCCTTTGGTCACGTGGATGCGCTTTGGCGGGAGATAGGGAGGCAACTCCAGGGTGAGTGATTGTACATTCGCTTCAGGGAACTGAAAGGGATTCAAGTTTCCACTTAACCATCACAGGAGAAGGGAGATAAGCAATATAGCATGAGTCAGGATAAGTATAAAATATCAAGTTTATCATAAAAATTACACGTCTCATATTTATATCTACAATTTAGGTAGTTAATATGTGAAAGTGTGAAATGTCTGTTAAACAAAGTTCAGCCTAACTACAGTCTTAGTGGTAGGGTGATAGGAAATGTAAAAAAGGACTTAAAGAGGAGAGATTAGTGCAGAAATGAGCAATGTGTTTCTTTTTCTAAGTCCAATGCTACTTATTTGGTACAGACCATGGCTTTATGCAAATTAGTGTGCGATGGTATTGTATTACAATGGGAACTTTTTAAATATCCATTTTAGCTTCATTATAATGATAGTTGACGTAAAAAGTAATAACTTGAATACTGAAACTATTAAGGATGTCTCTACCATGGAGTCTCACTATCACTATAAGAACAAACAGGTAGGAGGAGTAGTAAGCAATTTTGTGCATAAAAATATGTTTAAAATTATGCTTAGAAATTATGGGAAGGGGAGGGGGGTATCGGTAATTGATTTTGTACATGACCTGAATGGGGGGTTCCTCCATAAAATCATCACTATCCCCCCTAGCCATAAATTATGAACGGTCCCTTAGGTACGAAAATCTTTTAGGCAATGTGGGTATGTAACACCTGGATGATTACTAAGGGGTAGGTGAAGTGGGAATGGGAGAGTCCACAGGTGAGTGATCAGAGGGGGTGTTCAAAGAATGACAAAATGCAAGTGACCTTTTTATATACATTTAATACTTTATACACATCATTAACATATCACGTTCGAGCAGCCTTGAAAACATCCTCATCATAGAGATGGAAAATCGGGGTGTGGTCATGGTCTGGTCCTATCTTTAATAGTCGGTCCTCGACAGTTTGGATTGTACCTGTAAAATTAGGGTGACATTAAATAAAAAGTAAAAATAATAATAAAAATAATAATTTTCATTGATGAAATCAGTTTTGAAACTGATTGCACAAGATTGTCTATTGTCTATATATAGGTGTTAATAGGTGTAACTTGATAATTGATTGCATTCAGGTCAAAGAATACAAGACTTAATGTTTTACAGTATGTTTACAGCGAGATTCGGTACAGCTCTAATATACTGTCTCAGTTTTATTTCTGTTTACTCGGTACTTGTATCCGCCATGGTAAGCATGTCGTCCGCCTCGAAGATGTTGTATGAAAGATACTGACACTTGTACATTCGCCACTGTGATAATGTAACATGGTAAACATAACCTGTGTTATATATTTCCACATATCCTGCTCTAAATTCATCTCAGAGTCACATAAAGCTACTTTAACTTCTTTAGCTTAATTTATGTTGTTCTAAGAATTAATGGGGTGCTGGGAGCAGGGACACCCCCACTTGGGAACTTAGACTGTTCCAGTGAGACTCCACAACAGAAGTAACCAGAAGTGACATCATAGTCCATCAGAATATTAAACACAGCTGCAAGAGCGTTCTCAAAGGTTGTCACAACAACCAGGTCTATTTGTCTGCCTGTCAACATTATGATCTTTATGGTTGTCTTCCTAACCTGGGTGGAGGTACTCCGGGCCCACCATGTGTGTGGGGGATTTGGCAATCAAGTATTACAAGGATGTATTTGAAAGAATTTTCGAACATTATCAATGATCTTAAGAATTCTTAGAATATTACCTCTAACACATGAGGCAAAGGCCCATCCACCTTTCCCCAGATATCCCAATGTACCATTACCAAGGAGCCGATTCCTACGGATGGTGCTTGGAGGACCAAGGAGGAAAACCAGGGACATTTATTCAATTTCAGTCAAGCTAAACTTGTGGATTCAGAAACAAGTTTCAGGAGATAAGGCAATCAAGTGTTAGAGGTAGTATTGTCAAGGCAACCAAGTGTTAGAGGTAGTATTGTAAAGGCAATCAAGTGTTAGAGGTAGTATTGTCAAGGCAATCAAGTATTAGAGGTAGTATTGTCACGGCAATCAAGTGTTAGAGGTAGTATTGTCAAGGCAATCAAGTGTTAGAGGTAGTATTGTCAAGGCAATCAAGTGTTAGAGGTAGTATTGTCAAGGCAATCAAGTGTTAGAGGTAGTATTGTCAAGGCAATCAAGTGTTAGAGGTAGTATTGTCAAGGCAATCAAGTGTTAGAGGTAGTATTGTCAAGGGCATTCAAGTGTTAGTTAGAGGTAGTATTGTCAAGGCAATCAAGTGTTAGAGGTAGTGTTAGAGGTAGTATTGTCAGGGCAATCAAGTGTTAGTGAGGTAGTATTGTCAAGGCAATCAAGTGTTAGAGGTAGTATTGTGTCAAGGCAATCAAGTGTAGAGAGTAGTATTGTCAAGGCAATCAAGTGTTAGAGGTAGTATTGTCAAGGCAATCAAGTGTTAGAGGTAGTATTGTAAAGGCAATCAAGTGTTAGAGGAAGTATTGTCAAGGCAATCAAGTGTTAGAGGTATTATTGTCAAGGCATTCAAGTGTTAGAGGTAGTATTGTACAGGCAATCAAGTGTTAGAGGTAGTATTGTCAAGGCAATCAAGTGTTAGAGGTAGTATTGTCAAGGCAATCAAGTGTTAGAGGTAGTATTGTCAAGGCAATCAAGTGTTAGAGGTAGTATTGTCAAGGCAATCAAGTGTTAAAGGTAGTATTGTCAAGGCAATCAAGTGTTTGAGGTAGTATTGTCACGGCAATCAAGTGTTAGAGGTAGTATTGTAAAGGCAATCAAGTGTTAGAGGTAGTATTGTAAAGGCAATCAAGTGTTAGAGGTAGTATTGTCAAGGCAATCAAGTGTTAGAGGTAGTATTGTAAAGGCAATCAAGTGTTAGAGGTAGTATTGTCAAGGCAATCAAGTGTTAGAGGTAGTATTGTCAAGGCAATCAAGTGTTAAAGGTAGTATTGTCAAGGCAATCAAGTGTTTGAGGTAGTATTGTCACGGCAATCAAGTGTTAGAGGTAGTATTGTAAAGGCAATCAAGTGTTAGAGGTAGTATTGTAAAGGCAATCAAGTGTTAGAGGTAGTATTGTCAAGGCAATCAAGTGTTAGAGGTAGTATTCTAATAATTATTATCATTGTGGATAATGTTCAATGTAGGCAGGTGACTAACAGTTCTTTTAGTGTAAATAATTGTGTATGTGGAAGTTTAGAGGCCATTGAATTGGTTACTGACTGTTAAAATATGTACTGTCACCAGGGAGCGCTACATCCCCATCACACGGAGGTCTGTCATTCGACATCTCATGCAAGAGGAAGACTTTCTCACAGATGAAGAAAAGAGGAAATTTGATGATTTTGCTCTGGCTCTAGACTCTGCTATAGTCAACAAGTACCACGGTGTTCTTCAAGAGCTCAAGGTGGGCATACAGGGACTAACTCTAGACATCCTCATCTCTCCACATACTGTCAACTCAGACCAACGTAAAAACTTGGACCCCTGTAATTTCATACCTGTGTAAACTCTGTGAACTCAGATCATTGTGAACTATAACCCCTGTGAACTCAGATCCCTTTGAACTAAGACTCCTGTAAATTGAGATCCCATCAAACTCGGATCCTTTCAAACTTCAAATACATTTAGTTGTGGTTTCAGTAACTGTCACTACACAACTTAAATCTTCCAGTGTTCGTACCATACATGAAACCATTGAATGTCCCACATTGATTGTAACTTGGAGGTAACTGTATTTTGGTCTCTGTATTTATTTCCTCAATACAAACAAGTAATCACTTAAAGGAGCAACAACATGGTGTATATGTACGATGATTGTAAAAGTAATACACATTTTCAGCGCATATTTGACCCCCTGAACCCTGATAAGGACACTATCGCGACACGTGAGTGGACGTGGCGTGAGCGGCTCGACAATGAGTTCTGGCTACTGCAGCAGATGGAGGACATCATGGAGAAAGCCAACTTCCATGAACTGTCATCCTCCACTGTCAGCCGAGCCCTCGAGGAACACGAAGCCAGGGAAGGAGTACGGGTAGGTGTAGCATGGGAGTCTGGGTGGTGCCCTGTCTGGGTGTGTCAGCATGGGAGTCTGGGTGGTGCCCTGTCTGGGTGTGTCAACATGGGAGTCTGGGTGGAGCCCTGTCTGGGTGTGTCAGCATGGGAGTCTGGGTGGTACCCTGTCTGGGTGTGTAGCATAGGAGTCTGGGTGGTGCCCTGTGTGGTGTAGTGTGTCAGCATGGGAGTCTGGGGAGCATGGGAGTCTGGGGGGGGGGCCCTGTCTGGGAGTGTGGAGCCTGTCAGCATGGGAGTCTGGGTGGGGCCCTGTCTGGGTGTGTCAGCATGGGAGTCTGGGTGGGGCCCTGTCTGGGTGTGTCAGCATGGGAGTCTGGGTGGGGCCCTGTCTGGGTGTGTCAGCATGGGAGTCTGGGTGGTGCCCTGTCTGGGTGTGTCAACATGGGAGTCTGGGTGGGGCCCTGTCTGGGTGTGTCAACATGGGAGTCTGGGTGGGGCCCTGTCTGGGTGTGTCAACATGGGAGTCTGGGTGGGCCCTGTGTGGGTGTGTCAACATGTCTGGTGCCCTGTCTGGGTGTGTCAACATGGGAGTCTGGGTGGTGCCCTGTCTGGGTGTGTCAACATGGGAGTCTGGGTGGAGCCCTGTCTGGGTGTGTCAACATGGGAGTCTGGGTGGAGCCCTGTCTGGTTGTGTCAACATGGGAGTCTGGGTGGAGCCCTGTCTCGGTGTGTCAACATGGGAGTCTGGGTGGAGCCCTGTCTGGGTGTGTCAACATGGGAGTCTGGGTGGAGCCCTGTCTGGGTGTGTCAACATGGGAGTCTGGGTGGAGCCCTGTCTGGGTGTGTCAACATGGGAGTCTGGGTGGTACCCTGTCTGGGTGTGTCAACATGGGAGTCTGGGTGGAACCCTGTCTGGGTGTGTAGCAGCTGGGTGGAACCCTGTGTGGGTGTGTCAGCATAGGAGTCTGGATGGAGCCCTGTCTGGGTGTGTCAGCCTGGGAGTCTAGGTGGAGCCCAGGGGCCCTGTCTGGGTGTGTCAGCATGGGAATCTGGGTGGGGCCCTGTGTGGGTGTGTCAGCATGGGAGTCTGGGCGGGGCCCTGTCTGGGTGTGTCAGCATGGGAGTCTGGGTGGGGCCCTGTCTGGGTGTGTCAGCATGGGAGTCTGGGTGGGGCCCTGTCTGGGTGTGTCAGCATGGGAGTCTGGGTGGTACCCTGTCTGGGTGTGTAGCATAGGAGTCTGGGTGGTGCCCTGTGTGGGTGTGTCAGCATGGGAGTCTGGGTGGGGCCGTGTCTGGGTGTGTCAGCATGGGAGTCTGGGTGGTGCCCTGTGTGGGTGTGTCAGCATGGGAGTCTGGGTGGGGCCGTGTCTGGGTGTGTCAGCATGGGTGTCTGGGTGGGGCCCTGTCAGGGTGGGTGGGAGTATGGGGTGGGTGGGTGTATGGGTGTATGATACAGAAGGAAATATAGTCTCCACTGATAAGTGTGTGGGCAGAGCTGCTTGTATCAAACCCTGGAGATATAGTCACCGACATAGATGTGGGCACAGCTCTTTTGACGTTAGGCCAAAAAAAAAAAGCTTGTGGTTCCGATTTCCCGACTGACCCTAAATATTCCTGCCGAGCCTAACAATTTTACTCACCACATTAAATTTATTGATACATGAGTAATGTAAAAATACCTCTTGGCACAGGTATGGACTCATCACCCAGTCCTTAATCATCACCCTGTCCTTGACTCATCACCCTGTCCTTGACTCATCACCCATCACCCTGTCCTTGACTCATCACCCTGTCCTTGACTCATCACCCTGTCCTTGACACATCACCCTGTCCTTGACACATCAACCTGTCCTTGACACATCACTAGGTCCTTGACACATCACCCTGTTCTTGACTCATCACCCATCACCCTGTCCTTGACTCATCACCCTGTCCTTGACTCATCACCCTGTCCTTGACACATCACCCTGTCCTTGACACATCAACCTGTCCTTGACACATCAACCTGTCCTTGACACATCACCCTGTCCTTGACTCATCACCCAGTCCTTGTCATCACCCAGTCCTTGACTCATCACCCTGTCCTTGACTCATCACCCTGTCCTTGACACATCACCCTGTCCCTGACACATCACCCTGTCCTTGACACATCACTAGGTCCTTGACACATCACCCTGTCCTTGACACATCAACCTGTCCTTGACACATCACTAGGTCCTTGACTCATCACCCTGTCCTTGACTCATCACCCATCACCCTGTCCTTGACTCATCACCCTGTCCTTGACTCATCACCCATCACCCTGTCCTTGACTCATCACCCTGTCCTTGACTCATCACCCTGTCCTTGACACATCACCCTGTCCTTGACTCATCACCCAGTCCTTGACACATCACCCTGTCCTTGACAAATCAACCTGTCCTTGACACATCAACCTGTCCTTGACACATCACCCTGTCCTTGACTCATCACCCAGTCCTTGTCATCACCCAGTCCTTGACTCATCACCCTGTCCTTGACTCATCACCCTGTCCTTGACTCATCACCCTGTCCTTGACACATCACCCTGTCCCTGACACATCACCCTGTCCTTGACACATCACCCTGTCCCTGACACATCACCCTGTCCTTGACACATCACTAGGTCCTTGACACATCACCCTGTCCTTGACTCATCACCCTGTCCTTGACTCATCACTAGGTTCTTGACACATCACCCTGTCCTTGACTCATGACTCATCACCCTGTCCTTGACTCAACACCCTGTCCTTGACTCATCACTTGCTCCATCACCCTGTCCTTGACACACCACTCTGTCCTTGACACACCATCCTGTCCTTGACACACCATCCTGTCCTTGACTCATCACCCAGTCCTTGACTCATCACCTAGTCCTTGACTCATCACCCAGTCCTTGACTCATCACCCTGTCCTTGACTCATCACTTGCTCCTTGATTCATCACCCTGTCCTTGACACATCAGCCAGTCCTTGACTCATCACCCAGTCCTTGACTCATCACCCTGTCCTTGACTCATCACCCTGTCCTTGACTCAACACCCTGTCCTTGACTCAACATCCTGTCCTTGACTCACACCCTGTCCTTGACTCTTGTCCTTGACTCAACACCCTGTCTTTGACTCAACACCCTGTCCTTGACTCCCTGTCCTTGACTCATCACCCTGTCCTTGATTCATCACCCTGTCCTTGATTCATCACCCTGTCCTTGACTCATCACCCTGTCCTTGACTCAACACCCTGTCCTTGACTCAACACCCTGTCCTTGACTCAACACCCTGTCCTTGACTCATCACCCTGACCTTGACACATGACCCTGACTCATCACCCTGACCTTGACTCAACCTGTCCTTGACTCATCACCCTGCCCTTGACTCATCACCCTGTCCTTGACTCATCACCCTGTCCTTGACTCGTCACCTAGTCCTTGAGTCATCACCCTGTCCTTGACTCATCACCCAGTCCTTGTCATCACCCTGTCCTTGACTCATCACTAGGTTTTTGACACATCACCCTGTCCTTGACTCATGACTCATCACCCATGTCCTTGACTCATCACCCTGTCCTTGACTCATCACCCTGTCCTTGACTCAACACCTGTCCTTGACTCATCACCCTGTCCTTGACTCAACACCTGTCCTTGACTCAACACCCTGTCCTTGACTCATCACCCTGTCTTCAACAATGTCTTCAACAATGACCTCAACAATGTCCTCAACCATGACTCAACACCCTGTCTATACTCATTACCTTGTCTTTGACACATCACTCTGTTCATGGTTGGAAAAGGTTCAGCCCATCTCTCCAAATCCTTACCTCTCTCTCTGATGGTTTGGGAATCATGGACACAACATGTTTCTGGTCCCTTCAGTGTATCCTGGCTTTGATGTAATAGAGGAGGAGTATATGCCATAGTTGTTGAGAGTTAAGGCTTGAAGGAAGGGACTGTTTCCTGCCTCACACGGTTTCACGTGCATTTCCTGTGGAGGATAGGGGTTTCCTCATAACTGTATATATACTGGACAAAAATAGTTAGGGATATATGTAAATTTTGAAATTATGAATAATGATCTGTTTATTAACTGACACACTGATAAAATATCAATCATAAAAATACCAATATCCCTAACTTATTTTGTCCAGTATATGTTGGAAATTGAGATGACAGCTGTTGAAATTTTGTAAACTTTGTATTGTGAAGTGGACGGCATAAACAAGTACCCTTGACGAAATATGGTTATTATTCCTAGACTCATACATAATGAAGAATGACGACAATATTTTATGGATATACAACTTCTTTATTCTGTATAAGCAACGTTTCATTCACAAGAAGTCGTACACAATGGTAACTAATGTCTGATTAATTTATTAATATTTATTTCGTTAAAAATTCATTCAGTTGATTTGTTACAGGTAAGTGTGGATCCCAACAAGTATGATGTTTTACGGTTCTGGGCACTAGGGCGTGAGACACCACTACACGGTCCGTCCATCTGGGAGCGCCTGGTCAGCAGGGTGACCAGGACACCGATACCACAGCCTATAGAGTACTACAAGAGGGTTGTGCTGGCAATTAGGCTGAAGAAGGACTCCAAACTCATGCTTAAAGCTTTCAAAGAAGTGCCCATCAATTCATTAGAAATGCTTCTACCAGATGGCACGATAAAGATGAGTACTTTTGACAAAGGCTTGTTGTCATCGTCTGTTTTCTTAGCTTCTGTGGGTGTTGTAGCCAAAGTTGTGACAGTTTTAGCAGAAATGAAAATTGACTGGACATTGATAGTGACTGCCATTACTGGCGTGGTGGGAATCAGAGCATGGACAGTACAAGAACCGACGGAACAGCTACCTTGTGGACGTGTCAAGGATGCTGTATTTCAAGAACATAGCCAACAACAGGGGCTTGTTGACATTGTTGGTGGATCGTGCAGAAGACGAGAGTTTCAAAGAAGCCTTGCTAACATACAGCTTCCTGCTGACGAATCGACCACCATCAGAAAAAGCCAAGCCCAGTAGTCAACATAACCCAGCAGAACTCGGTACTTGATTACGGTATTCTCCTGATACGTCACTCTGAGTAATCCTGTTAACTACTTATGTCTGCAGGGATGCCAACCTCTACAATTTTATTGTAGTCGCTACGAATTTTAGCCTCAAACACGCGAATACGATTGCACTAGAAATTCTACGAGATTTTAAGACAATTCATTAAAATATTGACAAAAACATATATTTTCGTTGATTAAATACATTTTTACCAAAAAGAGACAACAAAAAGAAATGTAATGCTGATAATTAGGAAAAGCTTTACTCTTGATTAGTGTCATATTATCTTTCTCAGAATCCATCATGATTTTAAGTATTTAGTTGACTACTAATTTTATGGTCAAACTGCTTATTTTGAACCTTGAAACTACTATTTGCAACACTTTGGGGTTGGCATCTCTGAGTGTGTGAAGTCTTTTACTCTTGCTTACAGTATACTCCTGCTTACAGTATACTCTTGCTTACAGTATACTCCTGCTTACAGTATACTCTTGCTTACAGTATACTCCTGCTTACAGTATACTCCTGCTTACAGTATACTCCTGCTTACAGTATACTCTTGCTTACAGTATACTCCTGCTTACGGTATACTCTTGCTTACAGTATACTCCTGCTTACAGTATACTCTTGCTTACAGTATACTCCTGCTTACAGTATACTCTTGCTTACAGTATACTCTTGCTTACAGTATACTCCTGACAGGTCACTCTGAGTAATCCTGTTAACTACTTGAGTTATAGTCATGCTGACCCTGTCTATGTAATGGTCTGACTAGGTATGTGAGTCAAGTCTTATACTCTTGCTGACCCTGTCTATGTAATGGTCTGACTAGGTATGTGAGTCAAGTCTTATACTCTTGCTGACCCTGTCTATGTAATGGTCTGACTAGGTATGTGAGTCAAGTCTTATACTCTTGCTGACCCTGTCTATGTAATCGTCTGACTAGGTATGTGAGTCAAGTCTTATACTCTTGCTGACCCTATCTATGTAATCGTCTGACTAGGTATGTGAGTCAAGTCTTATAGTCATGCTGACCCTGTCTATGTAATCGTCTGACTAGGTATGTGAGTCAAGTCTTATACTCTTGCTGACCCTGTCTATGTAATCGTCTGACTAGGTATGTGAGTCAAGTCTTATACTCTTGCTGACCCTGTCTATGTAATCGTCTGACTAGGTATGTGAGTCAAGTCTTATAGTCATGCTGACCCTGTCTATGTAATCGTCTGACTAGGTATGTGAGTCAAGTCTTATACTCTTGCTGACCCTGTCTATGTAATCGTCTGACTAGGTATGTGAGTCAAGTCTTATAGTCATGCTGACCCTGTCTATGTAATCATCTGACTAGGTATGTGAGTCAAGTCTTATACTCTTGCTGACCCTGTCTATGTAATCGTCTGACTAGGTATGTGAGTCAAGTCTTATACTCTTGCTGACCCTGTCTATGTAATCGTCTGACTAGGTATGTGAGTCAAGTCTTATACTCTTGCTGACCCTGTCTATGTAATCGATCTGACTAGGTATGTGAGTCAAGTCTTATAGTCATGCTGACCCTGTCTATGTAATCGTCTGACTAGGTATGTGAGTCAAGTCTTATACTCTTGCTGACCCTGTCTATGTAATCGTCTGACTAGGCATGTGAGTCAAGTCTTATAGTCATGCTGACCCTGTCTATGTAATCGTCTGACTAGGTATGTGAGTCAAGTCTTATAGTCATGCTGACCCTGTCTATGTAATCGTCTGACTAGGTATGTGAGTCAAGTCTTATACTCTTGCTGACCCTATCTATGTAATCGTCTGACTAGGTATGTGAGTCAAGTCTTATAGTCATGCTGACCCTGTCTATGTAATCGTCTGACTAGGTATGTGAGTCAAGTCTTATACTCTTGCTGACCCTGTCTATGTAATCGTCTGACTAGGTATGTGAGTCAAGTCTTATAGTCATGCTGACCCTGTCTATGTAATCGTCTGACTAGGTATGTTAGTCAAGTCTTATACTCTTGCTGACCCTGTCTATGTAATCGTCTGACTAGGTATGTGAGTCAAGTCTTATACTCTTGCTGACCCTGTCTATGTAATCGTCTGACTAGGTATGTGAGTCAAGTCTTATACTCTTGCTGACCCTGTCCATGTAATCGTGCTGACTAGGTATGCGAGTCAAGTATTATACTCTTGCTCACTCTTTTTACGTAGTCGTGCCGAATAGGTATTTTGCATCAATATATATTTTGTGAATTTTGCCTTTCTCTTCACCAAAATTGTCGGTGTAGTAATATTAAGAAAGGTAAATTTACATCCAGAATATCTTAGACATTCCTCCTTCAATATTTATCAATACACACGCCACAAAACAAGTATTTCTGATGATACTTTATTCTTGAAAATACACAGACAAATTCTCCACAGAATAATAACGAAATAGATGTATATTAATAGCACTCCCGACCAGAGCGGTTACAACTGAATCTAGTTTACTCAGTGTCATGTCCTATACAAATACTCAAATAGCAGCTTACTGGTGGATTAGCCTACTTCTTGATTACTGCATCGAGAAAACCTGATGCCCTCCATCCATGAATGACTGAGTCTTCGTTCTTCTTCACGATATCGAAGCTGGACAGGACCCATCTGGCATGAAGAGGTTTCCGGTTGCTAATTCGTAAATCAACACGTTGATCACCCCCCATCCTTCAGATTCTCGGCCACACAATCAGCATACCAGTTTGTGAACTTGTTTTTCACGGCTGACTTAAACTCCGAATTAACTGACAGGTCCATTGGCACTGACACTGAGTTATCCATCTCAGTGCCCACTGACACTGAGTTGATACTGTTGAGATCAAAGGGATTAATAAGAAACCTGTCATCCTGTATCCCTGAAACCTGTATCTTTGATGTAAGAAGCAATGTAGTTTTAGTTAACAATGTTGTTTTTGCAACCTCTCGCAAAAATAATACATCGCAGAACAGGCACGGGGTATATTGACATCATCCTCTACCACCTATAGTATGACCAGAAATTATTGAGAATTTGAGGAATATGTTTAATTGGATTTCTAGTATAAACAACCTTAACCAGCTATCATGTTAGTTTCATTCAAGAGAGACAACTTCATTATTCCTTTTTCATTAGTTTGTGAAGAGTTATCCCCCTTTGTTTACTTGCTAGCAGACGACATTTTCAGTGATCCTCAGTATGGATGATGTAGAGAAGAGGAAGTTGATGTTAGAGTATTATAACAAGGACATCAGATCAGCTAAAGTGATTTCAAGTAGAACAGACATCCCCTTGTCCACTGTTTATTGTGTTTTGAAAAATATTGCAAATGGATATGGCATTGAGCACCAGGGAGGCGCAGGTAGGCCCAGAAAATTGACTGTCTGTGACAGGAGGCGGCTTGGTATTCTTGTTTCTAAAAACAAATGAAGGAGTTTAGAAAACTTAAGGCTGGATATGATTGATAGAGGAACTGTGGCTTTCTGTAAGGAGACAATTAGAACTGAGCTGCATGCAATGGGTTGGCAGAAAAGTCGAGGAATTCCATCACCGATTATGAAACCTGAAAAACCTTTGTATCAGCGCCCAAAGTACAGTCCGAAATTTAACGTGTGGGGTGGTATATCTGTGTTAGGGGCAACGCCCCTCAGTGTATTTGAAGGGAATATGAACTGTGAGCGGTACACAGATATTCTCGAGGGACATTTACTTCCATCTGCTCACGTGTTCTATGGAAATGTTTGGATTTTCCAGCAGGACAACGACCCCAAACATCGTTCAAAGCATTCACAGGCCTGGTTTCGGACCCCAAATATGACATTATTAGATTGGTCAAGCTAAAGCCCTGACCTAAATCCAATAGAAAATGTTTGGGGACTTATGAAGGCAAGTGTCAATAAGAAAAATCTGATAAATATTGCTGAAATGAAAGAAGAGGTGGTCCGATATTGGGACAGTATGGACCACAACTTTCTAACTTCTTTGATCAGTAGTATGCCCCGACGCATTGAAGCCTGCATTGCTGCCCATGGTGACTTGACAGAATACTAACTGTTCACCTGTCTTTGAATCTGGAGTTATGTTCTGCTAATATTCACATTTAATACGTGAGTAATGAGTGAAAAAAAATAATAAATGTACAATCTTTTAAATTCTCAATAATTTCTGGTTGTACTATACTATACCCAAGACAGCCAAGATGTTGCTGATACAATTAGACAGGTTCTTCTGGCAGAATGGACTTCCCAGGTGCCGTGCACAGATCGACTTGATCCAGCCATGTCTCATCCTGTCCTCATGTCTGAAAGAGGAACTGGACATCCACATTCCATCATGTCCTTATCTCTGATAGAGGAACTGGACATCCACATTCCATCCTGTCCTCATCTCTGACAGAGGAACTGGACATCCACATTCCATCCTGTCCTCATGTCTGATAGAGGAACTGGACATCCACATTCCATCATGTCCTCATCTCTGATAGAGGAACTGGACATCCACATTCCATCCTGTCCTCATGTCTGATAGAGGAACTGGACATCCACATTCCATCATGATGATAGAGGAACTGGACATCCACATTCCATCCTGTCCTCATGTCTGATAGAGGAACTGGACATCCACATTCCATCATGTCCTCATCTCTGATAGAGGAACTTGACATCCACATTCCATCATGTCCTCAACTCTGATAGAGGAACTGGACATCCACATTCCATCCTGTCCTCATCTCTGATAGAGGAACTGGACATCCACATTCCATCATGTCCTCATCTATGATAGAGGAACTGGACATCCACATTCCATTCTGTCCTCATGCCTGATAGAGGAACTTGACATCCACATTCCATCATGTCCTCATCTCTGATAGAGGAACTTGACATCCACATTCCATCATGTCCTCATCTCTGATAGAGGAACTGGACATCCACATTCCATCCTGTCCTCATGTCTGATAGAGCAACTGGACATCCACATTCCATTCTGTCCTCATCTCTG